TTGTGTCTGAAGCATACAGTCTGGGTAAGGGAGAGTTTACCCATCCACCTAAGAAGAAATTGAAGCCCCAAGTGCTTAAGATGTAACAGTTCTCGGGGTCCCGATCTCTCATGTTTGTCCTGGAACCTCCCATAAGCTCGTGTGCCCTTATTCCCTCTCCCTCTCCATGCTTAAAACAAGCAATCCCTGCTTTGAAAAGTCTCCAAATTACCACAGGCTCCTCCTGCCCATTATCCCTGTGTTCCTAGGATCAAGCGCATGGCAGGCATGAAGGAATCACAGATCAGTGCGGAGATTGAGCTTCTGCCCACCAATGATAAGAAGAAATGGGCTCGACCCCCCATCTCTATGAACTTTGAGGTATAGCAGAGGGGAGGCCTAGTGCCATGGCTGTGTGTGCTGGGAAAGTCAGTAATGGTTGAGATCAGTCTCTGCTCCTTAGGGATGAGGGAACTGGGTCTTGGCTGGGAATTGTCTTGAGTTGGTATACCCATTCTCTTTAAGCCTCTTAGTAGAAGTTGAAATTTAATCTGACAGAAGGCTTTGACTTCTCTTGACTTGTCTCAAAACAGTTGTTGAGAAACAGACTATTTGAAAGACTGTTAAGACAACAAGCTGATTTTGTTTGTATGAATCAGACATAGCATTTTCTCCACTTGATTTATGCAGTCCATAGTGTTGACAAGAATAAGTATGTTCAAAGGTAGTTCTCTGGTTACCTCCTGACATTTAAAGGAATGGTTATCATCACAGCTGGGCCTTCTTCAGACCTGAGATGATCCCTAGTAACTCTACTTGGTAACCTCCAGTGGGCTCGCCACCCCAACATTCTTCTGTTACTTCTGGACCCCAGCCATTCACAAAACCTTGTGGTAGATGAGGGGGGTGAACCATGGAACTTGCCAGAGTAGAGCTGATGTGATAGGAAGGCCATGTTCCTAACTGGAGGTGTCCTCTGCCTAGGTGCCATTCGCGCCTTCTGGCCTCAAGGTGCGCTACCTGAAGGTATTCGAACCGAAGCTGAACTACAGTGACCATGATGTCATCAAATGGGTGCGATACATTGGCCGAAGTGGCATTTATGAAACCCGCTGCTAGCTGCCTAGTGGCAGGTGGCCCACCTCCCCACCCACCCTTTCCACAGGTCCAAGTATCCCCAGTGACCACTCGTCAGTGTCTTTCCTCCCTCTTGCTTTGCTGCCTTTCCTTTACAGCAGCCCCTGAGTATAGGTCTGAACCCGCCACAGTGGGACTGCTGACAGTCCCTGGCTTCCTGGGCAGGGTGGTTTCTGAGGCTTCTCTTCCATCTGTCTGTCCTGGCTTAGTGCCAGGCCCTGAGTTTTGTGACCAAAGCCAAGTGGCTCCCTCTCCTTTCTACCCTGTGGCCACACCTCTGCAGTGGGAAGGTTGACTACCCCTCCCCTCAGAACTCCCCCAAAGGCCAGTAACAGATCCCCAGCCCTTAATCCCTACTCTGCTTTGGAATAGTATGCTTTGTTTTGTATACGTGTGACTTGGTCCAGTTCTAAACCCAATAAACTGTAGAGTGGAGTTGTTGGCTAAGTGTTAATGGGGCTATTGGGGTGGGACTGTAACTCTATGAAGCCCTGGCTGTCCTAGAACTCTGTGTATAGACCAGGCTGACCTCAAACTCACAGAGATCTGCCTGCCTCTGCCTCCTGAGTTCTGGGATTAAAGTGTGTACTATCATGCCAGGCTTTGTTTGGGTCTTGCCACCTGTAGCCCTGGCTGACCTAGAATTTACTATATAGACCAGACTGGCCTTGAATTTTTGTTGAGCCCTTGCCTCTGCCTCCCAAGCGCCGGTATTACAGACACGTGTCTCCACTCCAGGCTTTGCTTTGAGGTGGATTTCATTGTGCAAGCCCAGCTGACTAAATTCAGAGCCTCTGCCTCCACCTCCCAGTGCAGTGCTGTCGATGTGCAGTTTTTCTAATTAGCACATATCAAGGAAAATTTGTGTTTGTTCTTGCAACTATCCTGAGAAGCTAATGTTTGAACTTCATCCATTTCTTTTTTTTTTTATAAATATTTATTTATTATGTATACAATATTCTGTGTGTATGCCTGCAGGCCAGAAGAAGGCACCAGACCCCATTACAGATGGTTGTGAGCCACCATGTGGTTGCTGGGAATTGAACTCGGGACCTTTGGAAGAGCAAGCAATGCTCTTAACCTCTGAGCCAACTCTCCAGCCCCATCCATTTTTCTTTTAAGCTAGGTTCCAGTCTTGCTGTATGAACCACCAGAGGAAAGATTTATTTTCCTTATGCATTTTGTCAAACTTCTCTGATGAAAATCTTCATCCCTCCAGAGTTCCCAATGGGACTGTGCTGTGTTAGGACCGAGAAAGAGTAGGTTTGCCAGATTTCAGCTTTTTTAAATGGGATATAGATAGATAGATAGATAGATAGATAGATAGATAGATAGATAGATAGATATACTAAATTTCAAGCATAAGCAGAAATTAATATAATAATAACAAACCACAACTTGTCACCCAGCTTCAACAGTAATCAACTCATGGCCAACTCTAGTGTGTAACCTTTTTTTTGGGGGGGGGGGTAACTTAACTGAGGTATCCTATAAAATTTTCTACAATTGCATTGGGATCCAGTTCTGGTATCAGATCCCCTGCAGCTGGAGTTGTAGGCAGTTTATAAGTTTCCAGATGTGGAAGCTAAGAACTAAACTTAGGTCCTCTATAAGAGCAGTGTGTGCTCTTAACTCCTGAGCCATTTCTCTAGCCCCTAATTATGTTTGGTTATTCATGTTAATGAGTATTTTGCCTGCACCACATGCATGCAGTACTCTCCAATACCAGAAGAGGGCATTGGATCCTCTGAGATCGGTTACAGAGCGTTGTGAGCAGTTGTGTGGGTTCTAGGAAACAAACCCCAATCCTTTGAAAAAGCAAATGCTCTTCACTTCTGAGCCATCTCTCCCAGCTCTGGGTTTTAGTGTGGTGTCTGTGTGTGTGCGCACATGTGGAGGCCAGAGGTCAGGGGTGAGCGTGCTCAATTGCCTTCCATCTTAATTGTCAGAATATTTCACCAACCCTGGAACTCTTGATTTGGCTCAGCTGATAAGCTAGTAAGCTCCAGCAATGGTCTTGTCTTTGGCTGCCCAGGGTGGTTACTTTGTGTGAAAAACAGTGGCCCTCACTTCATAATAAGGGTACTAGAGACTTAAAGCAAAGCACTTTATTTTTTTGACCTTGCAGAATCTGTCATCAGCCTAGAGAAGAGGCAAACATGGCTGGCTGACCCTCTGATTTGGCATCGAACAAAAATCCTGCCCTCTTTTTTTTCCTCTCATAGGCTGATATTCCAGAGAGTTACAGTCCTTTCCATTATCTTTCTAGCATTGTCCCCACCCAACTTGTGCAGAAGATCCCTCTGCACTTCCCTGATACATGGGCTCAGTTACGTAGCTCACCAACTTCTCAGTCCTAAGGTAAACCTGCCAGGTAGCAGGTAATAGCCTCTAGGGAAAGCAGGGACGTTGTACCTCGTGCTTACATGTGACTCATTGATGAGCACTAAGTATCCCTTATACTGGAAATAGACCATAAGCACTTATTCCTGACAGATGACTTTTTATTTGGATTAAATTCAGGTCCTTAATGCTTGCATAGATAGATTTACTGAATCATTTCTCCAACCCCTAATCTGTATTTACGGTAAAATGGTTATTAGATTAGATTTAGAGGCTCAATGCTGGTTTTGTGGTTGTGGGTGACCTTTTTTCTTTCTTTTCCTTCTGTGACAGTGTTTCTCTGTGTAGTTAGTCCTGGCTGTGTTGGAACTCCCTCTGTAGATTAGGCTGGTCTTGAACTCAGAGAGATCCTAGTTGCTGCCTCCTAAATGCGGGGATTAAAGGTGTGCACCACCACTACCCAGCAACCTTGAATTCTTGATACTGTCACTGCCTCCTGAATGTTAGTGTTACAAACGTAGGCCACCGCGTCCAGTTTTATGAGGTACTAGGGACCAAACACAGAGCTTCAGGCATGCTAAACAAGCACTCTACCAACTCAGGCATGCTACTATAGGCTTTTTAAACTTTAAACACCAAGACTGGCTCCCCATTGCAGTAATGTTTAAGGTGGATGAAAGAGCAGTCCAGTGTGGTGGCATATGCTTTTAATTCCAGTACTTGCGTGACAGACAAGGTTAGCTTGGGTTATCTGGAAAGACTGTCTCAGAAAAAGAATACGGGTGTAATTTGAGCGTATTAGAAAGAATTTTCATAGTGTTATCTAGAAACAAAATCTACCTGAGCAAATCGATGGGTGGTACTTTTACACATACCCAGATTCAGGATGTAAGAAAATCTGCTTTGTCTGTAGACCCAGATTAAACAATGTATAAAGGGCTTCTTGTTGGTCGGGTTTTCTGGCGGTGGGTGGTGGTGCCTTGGAGTGGTGGAAGAACAGAATAGCCTAATTCTCAATGACTTGGTTGAACACCTATGGAGTGTGAACTGAGCACAGAGCAGGCAGGGGAGAGTGGAAGGCTGGGTGGGCATCACCAAGCTGGCCAACTAACTGGACGAAACGAAACCGATAGACTGCACTGAGCTGCCGTGAGTCAGCAGAACGCCGAGGCCTAAAGGCCTGGGTGGGCGTGCAGCGGCTCGCGCCTGCAGGGAAGGCTCCAAGCTAGCAAAGCAGTTCATTTCTACGGCTGCCTGTCTCTAGGCGAGGCTCCCCTCCCAGCACCCACTGTGCTCGTGCTGATAAACGTCACGCGACTCCGCCACACCCCTCGATTCCATCTCTGTTTTCCAGAAGGCAGCGAAAACCGCACAGGTGATGAATATAGTCGTGAAGCAGGAATTGCGCAGGCGCAGAGGCCGCTGTGCCTGGGGACATCTCGGCGCTTGCGTGCAGTCCCGCTAGCCACGCCCCCTGGGCTCCACGCAGGCTTCTGCTTTCTTACGTCATTATTGCGCTTGCGCCTTGGAAGGAAGGGGGGGTGCGATTTCGGGGAGGGGGGAGGGCAAGGAGGCGGTCCTAGGCCTAGGTCTCATCACGACTGCGCAGACGGGATCCCGAATGAATATGGCGACTTGTGCCGACATCCTGCGGAGCGAGTTCCCAGAAATTGACGGGCAGGTCTTCGACTACGTGACCGGTGAGCGAAACGGAATTAACTGCCGGGGGAGGCTGAAGTGGAGGTCGTGAGGGAAGACTGAGGGTGGACAGTGCAGCAGACTGCTGTCTAGTCTCTCCTCTGCGTGACCTCTTATCTTGAGGGCCGGTGGGGTCTGGAGCCCCGAGTTGGCTGATTAAACACTGAGACTGCTCGCAATAAAGACACCCGATGACTTTCTTGTTATGCGGTACCTGGGCCAGGCGTCTTGCACAGCGGCAGCGCGGACTTCGAGTCTGTGGACGACCTGGTGGAAGCTGTCGGCGAACTATTGCAAGAAGTGTCCGGGGACAGCAAGGATGACGCGGGCATCAGGGCTGTCTGTCAGCGCATGTACAACACTCTACGCCTGTAGGTGCCAAGGGAAAGGAGTTGATGGGCAGAGGGAGGCGAATGGAGTACAAACGTGGGGGAAGGTCTGAAGGCTGTAAATCTTTTCTCCGAACTGACTGCTTTTTATCCCTACCCACGCAGGGCTGAGCCACAGAACCAGGGAAACAGCCAGGTGCTACTGGACGCCCCCATCCAGTTGTCAAAGATAATGGAAAACTACGGTGAGATGGAGGGGAGATTGAACTAGCTGCCTTATGCCTCCACCCCTATCCACCTGCTCCTTGCATCTCGGGACTCCCTCCATCTCTTCTACTACACAGCTTGAAGGAGCTTGTGGTATTTTGTGAACCTAAGAGCATGTGATGAGCCGGGCAGTGGTGCTCCGAGCATTACAGAGGCAGAGGCAGGCATGAGTTCGAGACCAATCTGGTCTACAGAGCAAGTTCCTAGACAGCCAGGGCAACACAGAAACCCTGCCTCAAAAAATAAAAACAAAAACAAACATACAAGAAAAAAAAAAAAAAGAAACTTGTGATGAAGGGTTGGAAGGTTCTCCAAGCTATTGCCTATAGTAGGAGGCATAGAGCCCTGAGCTAAACATACTTCGTTTTGCCAATTTTGTACTTTAACCAACAGCATGGTCTTGTAAGAGTACATCAGCCTCTGTCTTTAAATATGAGATCTTTTTCTTCTTTATTTCAAGGCGAATAATCATCTATTCCAGTGTCATAATACTATCCTGTTTGTTTGTTTTGTTGTTGTTTTTGGTTTTTGGTTTTGATTACAGGGTTTCTCTGTGGCTTTGGAGCCTGTCCTGGAACTAGCTCTTGTAGACCAGGCTGGCCTTGAATTTACAGAGATCCGCCTCCCTCTGTCTCCCCAGTGCTGGGATAAAGGCATGCACCACCATCGCCCAACTAGAAACAGGAAAGGGCAGCTTTGTTTTTGTTTTTTGTTTTTTTTTGAGACAAGATTTCACTGTAACTTTGGAGTCCTGGTACTTGCTTTGTAAACCAGGCTGGTCTCAAACTCACAGAGATCTGTCTGTCTGCCACCCGGGTGCTGGGATTAAAGATGTGCGCCACAACTGCCTGGCATAATTTTTCTTAGAAACTGTTCTTGGTTCTTGTTACCCCAAGTCTTCATTTCCCTTCCCTGAAGAAGGTGACTGCCTTTCTTCTCACTTACAGACTGTGACACCAAACTTCCAGGACTGCTAAAGAGGGAACAGTCCTCGGTGAGGAGCAGAAAGGGGAAGGGGCTGTGTCTATGGTGGGCGTGAGAGTTGACTGTCTAAATAGTGGATTTATTTGGGGGGGAGGGGTTTCTGATGTGTCTTCCTGCGAGTCTTTGGTTCTATATCATCATGGGTAAGCTGTAAGGGTTTGTTTGAAGTGGTCCCTGGAGTTCCCTTTCAAACCTGTACCCTAGTATGAGCTGGCTGTGTTTGGAATTCACTCAGACAGTGAATGCGAAGAAACTCGAGAAGGCTGAAGCTCGACTGAAGGCAAAGCAGGAAAAGCGTTCAGAGAAGGAAACTCTGAAGACCAGCAGCCCTCTGTGAGTTTAGGAAGAAGTACTCAGAAGGGAGCAGGACGGGTTCTGGTATTCAAGGACTGTCAGGAGCCCTAAAACCTGTCCATTTCTCCTTTTGTAAGTGTCTTGGAGGAGGCATCCGCTAGCCAGGCAGGCAGCAGAAAAGAGAGTCGGATGGAATCATCTGGCAAGAACAAGTCCTATGATGTGCGAATTGAGAACTTCGATGTGTCCTTTGGGGATAGGTGAGAGAATGACCAGGGGCATGATCTTTGTCATTAGAGGAGTATTTGGAACTATGGGGTGTTAACTTTCCTTTGCACCTGCTCCTGAATCACTCTTCACCTCTTTTCTGCCACCCCTTCAGGGTACTGCTGACTGGAGCAGATGTGAACTTGGCATGGGGCCGACGCTATGGGCTGGTGGGACGCAATGGTCTGGGGAAGACGACATTGCTAAAGATGCTGGCCACTCGGAGCCTGAGGGTTCCAGCCCATATTTCCCTGCTGCATGTGGAACAGGAAGTTGCTGGAGATGACACCCCTGCCCTGCAGAGTGTTCTGGAAAGTGACACCGTACGGGAAGACCTGCTACGGCAGGAACGGGAGCTCAGTGTCAAGATTGCTGCTGGCAGGTGAAGGCTTCAGGCTAGAGGGTACAAGCAATAGCTGTCTGTCCTGGTTGACTGGTGTTAACTTGACCCAAACTAGAGTTACTAGGGAAGAGGCACTTCCAGTGGAAAATGCCCTCATCAGATTGGCCTGTGGTGAAGCCTATGGTACATTTTCTTAACTAATGATTGTGGGAGGACCCAGCTCAGTTGTGGGTGGTGCCACTCCTGGGCTGGTGGTCCTGGGTTGAATAAGAAAGCAGACTGAGCAAGCCAGGAGAAACAAGCCCATAAAGCTGTGTTCCGCCATGGCTCTGCTCCACCTCCTACCTTGAGTTCCTTCCCTGACTTTCCCTGAGAGTTGTAAGTTAAAATTGCCCCTCCATGTTGCTTTTACCACAGCAACAGAAACCTGAACACTAAGACACTATCTTTTACAGAGTGTCTCCATAATTCATGGGGCCTCCCAAGTGAGCAGCAGAGCTTGGAGTTTGGCTTACGGACCTGAAAAGCCCTCTCTCCCAGTGGCCTGCCTTCCAACTTAGAGGGTGCACGACTACCTCTTAGACTGTCTTTATACAAGCTCTTTGGGTCTTTTTCCTTCCCAGGGCAGAGGGCTCAGAAGCTGCACAGTTGGCAGAAGTCTATTCCAAACTGGAGGAGATTGAGGCCGATAAGGCGCCTGCCAGGTATTTACAATTCCCACTTGCTTTCCTGTTCAGTTGCTGAAATGAGATTTGAACTGTTTCGATTGGAGTCTTCTCATTTTCATTCCCAGAGCATCGGTCATTCTCGCAGGACTTGGGTTCACCCCTAAAATGCAACAACAGCCTACCAGGTGAGTAAATTTGGCCATTCTTGGCTTTGAATGCTGCTGGCTCTGGCCCTGCTTGTCCTGATGAACACCCACCCCTAATGTGAGTCTGTTGTCATTAGGGAGTTCTCAGGTGGCTGGAGGATGAGATTGGCCTTAGCCCGGGCTCTGTTTGCCAGGTGAGTCTCCTGAGCCTGAGGATGTGAGCCTGAACATGCGAGCTGGTCAGTCTCCTGCCATAAAAACCTCATGCCTTGTGTTCTTTATCCTAGGCCAGATCTCCTGTTGTTAGATGGTGAGTCTGAATGAGCTGCTCCGACTTTGGAACTAGACGAGGATGATGACGTTCCTTTTTTTCTAGTTCTCCAACCCTTCATTCCCAAGTATGTGTTTCTTATTTCCTCTCCAGAACCCACAAACATGCTGGATGTAAGGGCCATCCTGTGGTTGGAGAATTACCTGCAGGTGAGTCTAACTACGGCTTTACGGTAGGTTTGGATAAAATTTGCCTCCAAGACACTGGGGGCCGGCTACCCTTCCAAACAGCCTCCCATCCTGTTGTTCCTCAGACGTGGCCCTCCACAATCCTAGTTGTCTCTCATGACCGCAACTTCCTGAATGCCATTGCCACAGACATCATCCACCTGCACAGCCAACGACTAGACGGTTACCGGGGGGACTTTGAAACCTTTATCAAAAGCAAGCAGGAGCGGCTCCTCAATCAGCAGCGCGAGTATGAGGCCCAGCAGCAGTACCGCCAGCACATCCAGGTGTGCAGGGGCGGGGGAGGCAGGACTGAGTCCCATCCCATCGGCATCAGTCGGTGGCAGTGAGGGAGCCTGATGAGTGCCCATTTCTTGTAGGTCTTCATAGACCGTTTTCGGTACAATGCCAACAGAGCGTCTCAAGTGCAGAGTAAACTCAAGATGCTGGAGAAGCTGTGAGTACAGAGTCCTCTTCCAGACACCGACTCCTTCATTTCCTCCCCTCAGTTTGTAAGCTGACCTTGCCTTTCCATTCCAGGCCTCCCCCCAGCCAGCAGCCAACCTCTACTCCAACCACTAATCTCAGCTAGGCAGCCACAAATTCAGACGTATTGTCTGCCTCTGTCTTATATCTGCTTTGTCTAGCCTTTCTTTCTCCCCGTACTGAAGTTTAAGACTAGTGCAGACTAAGCCTCACCTGTGTCTGATTTCCCTAAGAGCCATGTTTCCTAGGGTCATCATGTCATAATGTTAACACTTCACCACCTTTCGTGGTGGCATGATGCTCCATTTCATGACTTGAATACATTTCGTTTGTTGCGTCAGGTGATGGACATTAGGTTATTCCCATTTTGTTTTTAGGAATAATGAATGCAACTGTAAACTTTCTAGGGGGTGTGGGAGTCTGTAAGACTGACTGCCAGTTTACAAAAGTTCTCCTGCCTCAGTCTTCTGGGTGCTGAGATTACAGATGCAAGCCACCACAGCTGGCGTGCTGTGAACATGATTGTATTCGAGTTTTTTTTATTTTTTTTCTTTTAAAGATTTTTTTTATGTGTGGGAGTGTTTTGTCTACATGTATGTATGTATATAAAGTCTGTGTGTGTGTGTACGCCTGGTCAAGTGCCAGAAGTTGGAGGCGAGTCTCCTGGAATTGGAATTAACAGATGACTTTAAGCAACTATGTGGGTACTAGAAACCAAACCTGGGCCTTCTGCAAGAGCAGTAGGTGCCCTTAACCACTGAGCCATCCCTCCAACCCCCTATGTTCAAGTTGCTAAGCAAACATTTGTTTTTGCTTAGGTACCTGTCTAAGAATAGATTTGCTGTTTTACATGGTAATTTAACTTTTGAGAGGGTTTTGTTGCTGCTGCTGTTGTTAAAATGGTTTCACTGTATAGCCCTGGCTGGCCTAGAACCTGCTTTGTAGACCAAGCTGGCCCCAAATTCACAGGGATCCCTTCTGTCTTTACCTCCCAGGTGCTAGAACTAAAGCATTTGCCACGAGATTTTACCTCTACTGCTTAACTTTTAAAGGATCTGCCAGACTGGGTTTGTTTATTTGTTTTGAGACAGTTTTGTAGCTCAGACTGGTCTTAAACTTACTTGTTTGTTTTTGAGGCAGGGTTTCTGTGTAGCTCTGACTGTCCTGTAACTCAAAAAGATCTGCCTGCCGAGTGGCCTTAAAGTCTTCTGTAGCCAGTGATGACCTTGAACTCCTCATCCTCCTACCTCCATCTCCCAAGTGCTGAGATTATCCAGTTTGTGCATGCTGGAAATTGGAACTAAGACCTGTGCACACTAGGCAAGCATTTTAGCAACTGTTTTATATCCCTAGAGCCCTTCCAGACCAATTTTTTTTTTAATTCAGTAACTGTATACATTTATTTTATATGGGGCACACTACAAGTCTTACTAAAAATCCGACTACAAGTCATATCAGAATTCTTTTTTTTTTGCATCTTTTTAATGAATTTTTTTTCTTTTGTGGAGATTATAATCAAATCATTTCTCCCTTCCCATTCCTCCCTCCAAACCCTCTCTTATATGCCTCCTTGCTCTTTTTCCAGTTCATAGCCTCTTTTTTTTTTCATGAGTTGCTGTTACATGTGCATATGTACATGAATATATTCCCAAGTATAACTTGTTCAATCTGTATAATGTTACTTGCGTTTTCAGGGCTGACCATTTGGTACTAGATACCAGTTGGTGTGCACTTCCCTGGGGAAGATTGTTCCCTCTACTGTCAGTGTTCCTTGGTTGCCTATAGGTCTTTGTGTAGGGTTTAGGCTTGTACCCCCACCCCACCACACACACACACACATCCACACACACTTTGGCATGTCTGTTGACGTCATTCTTGTTCAACTCATGTTTGGGGGGTCAAATTGTTGAGACTTTATGGGTGTGCTTCTAACATTGCTAGGAAACAGTCTCAGAGCAAACTCCCTGCTCCTCTGGCTCTTAGTCTTTCCCTTCTTCCAAAAGGGTCTCTTGCGTGTTTTGTGGATGTATTGGGACTGGGTTCTACAACATTAGGCTTTGATTGGTTGTAGTTTTCTGTAATGGTCTCTCTTCGTTGCAAAGAGAAGTTTTCTTGGTGAGGAGGTGAGGCTAGACCGTGGAAAAGCACTTAGAAAGTCTGGTTGGGTAGAATAGTTGGATGCAATGCAGAAAGGATCTGTGGGTGGTTGCAGGTCCAGACCACTCTTTTTGTTTTTGTTTTGAGACAGTTTCTCACTTTGTAGCCCAGGCTAGCCTCAAACTTCAGGTACATCTGCTTCCCACAAGCTGGAATCACTTCCACTTTTGGCTCGTCAGATTATGTACTAAAACAGAGGTATTCGTTTATATGCCTCCTCCAGTATGGGAGCTGTCATTGTCCTCTATCTTTGCCAGCACTTGTTTTTAACTCTTACAGTCTTGGCCGCCCCAATAGTTTGGAAGCAACATCTCACTATGGTTTTGATAAGCAGTTCCATGACTAATAAAATTAGTCATTGAGGGTTTAATCTTGAAGGAGTCGTTCTAGAAATTCTGGGAGAGTAAATTCATAAGGCTTACAACTCTGACATGGAAACATTTATTATTATACCTTAAGGGTAAAAGCTACCAAGACACACTGGGGGCTGGAGGCATAGAGCTGTAATCTCAGAACTGGGGCAGGCCAAAGCCAAGGACTTCTAAATTCAAAACCAGCTCAGGCAAGCTGGTGAGACCTTTCCTCACATGTACAACATAAAGGAAGAACACAGATTTAAGTTTTTTAAAAGCTGTTGAAAGATGGGATTTGGGGTGGTTTTTTGTTGTTGTTGTTGTTTTTGTTTTTTTATTGGGGAACCATTCAGCCAGTACCCGCGGCAAACATGATGGTTCGCCCCAGGACTCATAGTAGAAGAAGGAATAGGCTCCAGACTTTTTCTGGGGTTTGTTTTTTGTTTTGAGGCAAGGTCTCACCATAGAGCCCTGGCTGGCCTCAAACTCACAGACGTACATCTACTCTGCCTCCCAAGTGCTACAATTAAAAGTGTGTGTCACCGTGGGCATGTCATTAATATTTTTTTAGAGCAGAAGAGATGTCTCAGCAGTAAAAGACATATATGTTGCTCTTGCAGAGGACATGGGTTTGGTTCTCAGCACCCACATGACAGCTCACAACTGTGTGTAATTCCAGTTCCAAAAGAATTGACACCTTCTGACCTCATGGGCATTGCATACATTTGGCATACAAACTTACATGCATGTAAAATACCCATACATATAAGAAAATAAATATTTTCAAATTTTTATATGTATATATTTTCAATGTATATGTTTTTAATTTTTATTTTGCTTTTTGTTTGAAGCTGCATACACTCTTTATGTAGTCTTAGCTAGCCTGAAACTTGCAATGTAGAACCTGTGGGGCTTGAACTCAGAGAGGTCTGCCTGCTTCTGCCTTCCAAGTACTAAGATCAAAAGCACCTAGCTTATATATGTATATGTATTTTAATTTTTTTTAATGTGCCTGCATGTATTTTGCCTGCATGGATGTCTGTGTGAGGGTTTCAGACCCATGGAACTGAAGTTACAGACAGCTGTGAGCTGGGTCCTGGGAACTGAACCCAGGTCCTCTGAAAGAATAGCCAATGAGCTTAGCCACTGAGCCATCTCTCCAGCCCCAAGTTTGTTTATTTTTTAAGCTACAAAAAAAGATGATTCTCTTTCTTAGAGATTGTGAGCTAGAAGAATACTTTGTAGCATTAGCTAATTGAAGGACTCGCAAGTCTTGTTTTCTCCAAGCATTTCCTTGTGTAAGAGGAACTGAGTTCTGTTTTTAAGTTTAGATAATTCTTGTCATTTAGTTGAGTCAGGTCTCTCTGCATGGCACAGAATGTTTATGTAAGTTGGCTCTAGGCCCCTAAATGGTAATATTGTGGGTATGTTACCACATTCAACACCAAGCTGAATTTTACTGCTTTTATTAGTGTGTGTTAATGATAGAGAATGGGTTTTGTTAGCCGACATGTTCCCTGGGCCCTTGAGAGAATGTTATGTCCCGTGGACATAATTCACCAGTTGCTCAGCACTCACCAGTTGCTTGTCCTCGGCACTTGACCAGATGGGAGTCTCTGCAGCTACAGACCGAAGCGGACTAACCTATGGGGATAGACATCGTTTAGAAGGCAATCTGATGGGCACGTCGTGATGTAACAAATAGCTGTAGCTGCCACACTAGAGCTTGTGACCTGCTTGGCCCCCGGTTTTGATCTGGTTTACAGCACAGATGTGAGGTGCTCGTATGAAGCAGGCCTCAATTCCTATCGAAAAGCAGTTAGTTGGTTAGTCCATAGTAGTCTTGCCAGTGGGCACACCTTACTTGGCCAGTCAGTAATGTAGCACATAACCATGACTAAGGACTGTTGATGGCAGTCCTCCCTCAGCAGCCTGCTTACCACCTCCCAGCGCCGAGGACCAGCCAGCAGGGCAGAAGCTTCGTCCCAGTTGTCTTGCTTTCTCTGTGCTATAAGCAGCCTAAGTCTTGTCGTGTTTCTGCATAGTGGGGTTCTTTACTCCTGAGTCATCATGACCTTTATACCGATGCCTACAGTTAGGATAATTGCGTGTGAGTGTGTGTGTGTTAGGATGATTGCACGTCTGTGTGAGTGTGTGTGTCAGGTTTCCTTGTGGTTTTTCCATTAATCCCACCCCCAGTGTTCTCTTTTCCACTTTCACATCTTGTTAAATAATCATTTTTCCATCTCTCCTCAGACCTGAGCTAAAGCCGGTGGACAAGGAGTCAGAGGTGGTAATGAAGTGAGTTCTAAGCCGGGGAGCTGATGGGGAGTCTCTCCTCCTGGCTGTCTCCACACTTGACACTTGCACCTCCTGCAGGTTCCCTGATGGCTTCGAGAAGTTCTCACCACCAATTTTGCAGCTAGATGAGGTGGATTTCTACTATGACCCTAAACACGTCATCTTCAGTCACCTGTCTGTCTCTGCTGACCTTGAGTCTCGCATCTGCGTGGTACGGTTGCTCCTCTGTTCTGTGTCCCGGGAGTTGTTTGTCTTAGCAGGTGTGGGTTGGACAATCCTGAGACGTTAGAAGGAAGAAAATTCCTTCTAAATTATACTTAGACTGCTGCTGTCCTCTGTAGTCACACAGGCCACCTCAGAGATGAGAAATCTGGCTCGCAGCATTCTATAAATATATAGAACAGTAGTTTACTGCTCTTGGTCTGCTTATGTCAGCCATGAGACATTAAAGCAAGACCGTAGGTCGTAAGTCAGGATTTAGAGTATGCTGTTCTATAGCTTGGTTTAGGAAATCTTCTCTCCTCAGAAGGGAGAGAAAGGCTGGGGAAATAGCTCAGCAAGTAGAAAGTGCTTTCTGCCAAAAGTGAGGGCCAGGATTAAGTCCCCAGAACTCATGTTACTGTTGAGTGCTCATGACAGCGCTCAATCCCTGTGTGCAAGGGTCAGAGACTAGGAGTCACCAGAGCAGGGTGGCTAGCCAGCTAGTGCAACTGTGAGCTGCAGAAAAATTTGAGGAAGACATCCTGCGTTGCCTTGGGCCTCCACATGCACATATTTGTACCCAGATGTACCCATGCATGGGGACACACCACTTCTGGTTACCAGAAGAAGTAACTCTTGCCCCTTGCAAGTACTCAAGTATCGGTTCCCTTTGTGGCTTTGCATGTGGTGGTAGTTCCTCGGAGGTTTTGGTTGCAAGGCTGGGACTACCCAGAGCCCCTCTTCCTTCCTTCCTTCCTTCCTTCCTTCCTTCCTTCCTTCCTTCCTTCCTTCCTTCCTTCCTTCCTTCCTTCCTTCCTTCCTTCCTTCCTTCCTTCCTTCCTTCCTTCCTTCCTTCCTTCTGTGCCCCACGCATGTGCACTCATTAAACATGCTCATGCTTCTTTCAGGTTGGAGAGAACGGGGCTGGGAAATCTACTATGCTGAAGCTGCTCATGGGGGACCTGACTCCTGTTCGAGGTATCAGGCATGCCCACAGGTAAGGACACCCCCCCCACACACACATACTCCCCACCCCGCCCTGCTGTGAACTGTACGCATTTTCTACACATTCAGCTGCCTGTACTACTCCACAGCGATGCCTTCTGTTTTCTTTTTGCCTCCAGGAATCTGAAGATAGGCTATTTCAGCCAGCACCACGTGGAACAGCTAGACCTGAACGTCAGCGCTGTGGAACTCCTAGCTCGAAAGTTCCCTGGTATGTTAGGGTAGGGTTTGCAGCAACAGCGTTTTAGCTGTCCTTGCACCTAGGCCCGTCTTCGGTCAGTCTAAGCAGCTTGCCTAAGTCTGGGTATAAGAGCATGGACATTGGGAAGAACGTAGGGAGTAGCAAAGGCTTTGGGCCAAGAGCCCGTCTGATGTGGGGGCCTTTTCCAGGGCGACCCGAAGAGGAATATCGACACCAGTTGGGCCGGTATGGCATCTCTGGGGAACTGGCCATGCGCCCTGTTGCAAGTTTATCTGGGGGCCAGAAGAGCCGGGTAGCCTTTGCTCAGATGACCATGCCTTGGTGAGATTTATTTTCTTGGGTTCTTGCTTCTTGCCCATTACAAAACGATTCTTTGATATTTGTGCCATAGGAATTCATTGTCTCCCATCTTGTAACTTCTGTGTTCTCCCTTCCAGCCCCAACTTCTACATTCTGGATGAGCCCACAAACCACCTGGACATGGAGACAATTGAGGCTTTGGGCCATGCTCTCAACAACTTCAGGGTGAGCCTGCTCTAGCCTGACTGTTCTTCCCTAGGCCTCAGCACCGCTTGAGCCATTCCCCTGAGTCTCCTGTTCTGTCTTTCAGGGTGGCGTGATTCTGGTATCACATGACGAGCGCTTCATCCGGCTGGTGTGCCAGGAGCTGTGGGTGTGTGAGAAAGGCAGTGTGACCCGGGTTGAGGGAGGATTTGACCAGTACCGTGCCCTCCTCCAAGAACAGTTCCGCCGGGAGGGCTTCCTCTAGAGCCCCCCGACCGAGTAAGGACTGTGCCTAGGACATGGACTGGTCTCACAAGACCCCTGAGCTACCGTATAGGCAACCAACTCCAGAGTTGGGACTTTCCCTATTTGGGGACAGCCTTATTTTCCAGATTTCTTTTCCTTTCAACTGGAGCATCCTCTGCACAATGTGGGGAGGCCTATCGAAGGGCTGGTGGAGACCAGCTCTGATGGAAAAGGGTAGGGGTGCCATCTGGGGTTATAAGTACCCGAATGCCCAGCGTGACAGGGCCCCACGTGGCTGCTATGTAAATTAAATATCCTCCTGTATCTCTCTTGCCTCATCTCTGTTCCTTCATGGGCAGGACTTGCCATGGTTTTCTGCTGTAGGTTCTGGGCTCTCTGATTGGTGTTTTCCTAGGATATAAATGTCATGCACACAGAGCAACGGAGTGCCAGCCTTCCTCTTGTTGGGAGATGGCATCTGTCTGGCCCTTGGGTGGGCTCAGGCTGGAGGAATGGAAAGCAGGGTTCTGGGGTTACCCTAGCCTAGATGTGGCCTCAGCTGAAAGCATCTTGGGCTCAGCTGTCTCAACCCCTGCTGCTTGGGATTTGAACTGATTCTGGAATCTGGCCTCATACATGGCTCACCAACTGCTCTCTCCAGGGACTCTGACCCAGCCTCCAGTTTCTCTAATCTGAACCTTCAGGCTCAAGAGAAACTATTGTTGTTCTGAGTTTGCATTAGCGATCTGACATTCTGTTTTTTTTTTTTCTCTAATCATGCAGAAGCAGCCTGGGAAGTAGGGAATTGTCTAACTGAAAGAAATAGGACACTTCAACACTTTATTCTTTTCAAATAAAGCAGACTTCTAAGAGGGGAAGACATGGAGTCATATGGGCTTACAGTCCCAGGCACCCCAGAGGCTGAAGCCAAAGGCTCATTTGGGTCCTGACCCGGGAGACCCATCCCTTTATGAAAGAGGGAGGAGGGGTGTTAACAAGAGTCTGGCTTGCAAGTTCTCAAGGACTTAGCTGCTGTAGTTAGTCAGTATGTAGACGTTAACATGGAGTCAACAGAGGGATGCCTTAGCCTACTGGAAATTGTAGTCATGAGTTTTCAACCCAAGAGTCCTCAAGTTGTGCTGAATGTTGTGGTCTAGGTAATTTGGGAAGAGAACCTGTGGGGCAAGGGAGAATGTGAGATAGCCTTGGATTGTGAGGAAGTTCCTCACAAGAAACGCTAAAGCAAGGAAAGATTTATTTTGCCTTGTGATTTTAGAGGCTTTGGCCCAAGGGCGTTTGACTGTGTTACTCATGTGCCTGCATGGGGTGGGACAGAACACAGTGTGGGGGATGTGCTGAGACAGTAGCTCAGAGTGTCACTCTCGCACTTCCTGGAGTGGGTTCCCAAGGACTCAGTGCCTTCAGCTAGATCCTCCCTGCTACAAGTGCGCATGATCCTGGAAGCCACAGCTCTGGATGCACACACTGGGGCAGACCTTCAACACACAAGCCTTTGCATGATTCCCAGATCCAGAAGGCTCTGAGCTGGTGCTGGTGGGCTAGTAAGACCTGTCTACCCCTCGGACTTCCCTGTGTACAGCTGCATGTACCTCGGCAGTGATGAAGGCTTTTCCATCTCAAAACCCACAGAGAAGTGTATTGGGGAACCATAGGCCCTATGTCTGTCAGTCTTCCGTGCTCAGCCCCTGAGTCCCTCAGACTTTGTAAGCCCCTTAGGAGTCATGCAGATGCTTATGGTCCCTGGAAGAGCTTGGAGCACCGAGAACATCGGAATTCAGGGTGGTGTGAGGACAGACCCAGCACTTCTGCTGTCAGTGGAAGGGGTCACAGAAGAGTAAAGCAGACCACCTGAGCCTGGGTTCTTTGTGGCACTGTTAAGGGACTAGCCACCACACAGTATAAAAGCATTCAGGATGGGTTTGGTTTGCTGGGTGCCCACAATGACTAGAAGGATTGCAAGAAGAAGACTTTTCTTTAGCTAATCATGGACCTTAAAAAGAGTGCAGGCACCCAGGCTGTCTTCAGTGTGCTGGAGCCTATGGGAAGGGGGCGGCACTAGGTGGTGACTAGAATTCCATGAACTGTGAAGAGCCCACCCACACTGCAGGAATACTGGAGATGAGATGCCAATGACTGAAAGTTAGTGATCCAGAGGCATGGAAAGATTGGTGGCAGCCAGCCCTATTTCAGAAAACACGAGTGGAAAGCAGCCCTGCACTGGAGGGTATTCTGTGCAGCAACCACCCGCTGCACTGACTGACACCAGCTAGGGGCGGGGCAGTCCTGTAACTGCTTAACCTGGAGCTGTTCTGCCTACATCTGGCCTTTGTGCTGCCCAGGAGCTGGTCAATAAAGGATCTTAAACTCACTGAAATCATGGACTGCTTGCCTCTCTCGGCCTGGCCATCCTCACCAGCATCACTTGGGTAACTTGGCTGGTTCTCAGCACAGTTCTCGCAAGGCAAGGCACTTCGGCCAGTCCACAAGCTGCTCACTCCCATATGCTGTTACAATCTTGAGGTCTAGTAGACATTTTGCTGAGTTCTGCCTTAGCCTATCTCTCCATTGGGCTTGAGCATGCAGAGTGGATGCCAAAGCCTGTAGGAGATGCTGACAGAGTGGGCCAAGGCTGGGAAAGAATCTGACCTCCCGCGGGAGGCTGGTGGCACTCACCTTTAATCCCAGTACTCAGGAGGCAGAGGCAGGTGGATCTCAATGTGTTCAAGGCCAGCCTGGTCTACAAAGCAAGTTCCAGGACAGCCAGAAATGTTACACAGAGAAACCCTGTCTAGAAATATAAAGACTTGAGTTGTCCTCTGACCTGCACGGGTGTATTGTGATGCCTGGGCACACAGACCATGCTTTTAAAAAGCTAGATGCTGGGCAGTGGTGGCACACACCTTTAATCCCAGCACTCGGGAGGTAGAGACAGGCAGATCTCTGTGAGTTCAAGGCCAGTGTGGCCTACAAGCGCTAGTTCCAGGACAAAGAAATCCTGTCTCAAAAATTAAAAAAAAAAAATGCCCACGTTTGATAGCTATGAATAACAAAGGCTACTCCATCCATTGTCTGGAGCGGATGTATGTGCAGCTTGGTGCTAGTGGGAGTCCTAGGTTGCTAACAGGTTGCTAGGTGTGCTGTTCATAGAGGGATAAGGTTGCTAAGATATGCCCCATGCTTGACTTCCTGGGTTTCTAGTAGCTCAAGGCTTAGCCAATGATGATCGTGACTACTTGTGAGCCTCACTGCTTTATTGGTTCTCGCTAGGTTTTGATTTGGTTTAAAGCTTTGGCTTCACCTTGTCCAAGTACATGTACAGGGCCTCCTATATATATTCTTGGGAGAGGCAGCAACCAGAATTCTGGTTGTCTGATCAGGTTTGCTGCGGGCTTTGCATCATCAGTGCTCTTGGTCAGGTGTCAAGCGTGCTCTAGAATGGCTGTGGGCCAGGCTGTCACCAAGACCATTTTGCTTTGTACCTAGTCCTTGAGCACCACATGATCTACAACACAGGACATTAGATGTCCTCCTTGTCTCTCTCTCCACTTTATACCTTGAGCAGAGTCTCATTGAGGCAGACGCTCTCTATTTACTCTAGGCTGGCTGGCCATCGAGCTCTTGAGACCCCCCTGTCTCCACCCCCAAAGTTTCAGTTATAGACATATACAACAAACATGCCTGGCTTTCTACATACTTAGTACCTATGTAGGTTTGATCGAACTCAGGTTCCCATGCCTGCATAGCAAGTGCTCTCACCAGCTGCACCAGCCTTCATCAATCCTAAAGATATCTAAATACAAAGTATCACAAGTTGGATGCTTCAAAGTTACATTCCTTCTCCCAGCTCCATGTGTATCTGTCTTAGTTACTTTTCTACTGCCATTAAAAAAAAAAAAAAAAAAAAAAAAAAAAAAAAAAAAAAAAAAAAACACCATAACCAAGGCAACTTAGAAAACATTTGGTTTGGAGCTCATGATTGCAGGGGGTTGGAATCAATGACCATCGTGGCATGGAGTGGTAGCTGAGATCTACATCCTCACCCAAACGTAGGCAGCAGAGCTGCCCAGCCCCAGTGACACACCGCCTCCAGCAAGGCCACATCTCCTAATCCGTCCCAATTCCACCAACTGGGGACCAAGTATTCAAGTGTGTGAGTTCATGGGGCACTGTCACTCAGCAGCATTCCCCTACCTGCCTCCCATAGACTGGTGGTCATACCACAGTTCAAAAGCCCCCTATGGTCTTACACTGTTTAAAAATTCCAAGTTCAGATATGTGTCCCACTCCCCAGCCCCATGGCACTTCCTAGACAGGGGGCTGAGTCAAGATGAAGCTGAGTATATCCTTCCCAGCTGCCTGCTATCAGAAACTCCCTGAAGGCCGCAATGAATACATGCTTGCAAATTTTGTACTCTTCTGTGAGATGCTCACGGCCATAGGCGTAACTGCTGATGCTCTGGGTGAAGAGTGGAAGGGTCACGTGGTCCCAATCAGTGGTGGGAAGAACAAGGTTTTCCCATGAAGCAAGGTATCTGCTGTTGAGTAGGGGTGGAATTGTTCTAGATCAAGGAGAACTAGAGAGAGGAAGTCTGTTTACACGACAGAGAAAGACACTGCAGAGAACCCTCCATCTTAGATTCTTGCTGAGGCCATTTCAGGTTTAACTAGAATCTGGTCTCCTTAATGGAGAATTGTGCGGAACATTACCCAACTCTATTTTAGGTCAAGATCCTCCTGCTAACTTAATTTCTGTTAAATGTCTTGCTTGCTCAAAACCTCTCCCTGCAACTGGATATAGTTTTTTGGCTTTAAAAACCCCTTACCCTAAAACACTTGGGGCTACACTTGAGTCCCAAGTATCGGAGTGTATTTCAGCCTGTGATGAACCAGCCTGTCTCCCTTTTTGGCTTAAAAGCCATCTTATAGTAAAGGCAAGCTACATTCATTTGATTACACCACTTTCTCAAGGATTGTGCTGTGCCCCACCTGTGACCTTAGCTACAAATGGTTCTCTACTGCCTGTTCCGGGAAATGGTCTTTGTTTCTAATCCTCTTACAACCCTACCTTTGTTTCAGAAGGTTGTTATGACTTCCTTGCTATGCCCACCTTGCAACCGTGTCTTTGTTTCAGGAGGACGTTATGACTAACTGGCCGTGCTTAGGTTCTGCTCCTATAACCCCGTCTATTTTGACTGTCAGCTTCCCCATATTGAAACTCCTGAGCTATAAAGTTTGTCTTCCTCGCATCCAATGCTGACCTCTAGAACCCCACTTAAGGGAGAGGCAGCCTGTGTACACAATTT